AAAACAATTAAAAAAAACATTTTGCCTGTGAAATAAATTCAAATAATTGCCGCGCCTATTCGGCACATTTCCATTTTTCCTACTATACCATGTGTGGCTAACAGAAGAATTCACGGCAACTTTGGTGATTTTTCGTTCCCAGAAGAATTCACAGAAAATCTAGGCTGAACTCCGGGCCGCCCGGCGGCCGGCTCGTCGCCTGGGCAGGGGGCCGGGCCGCCTGGCCGGTCATTCCGCCCGGTTGGCCACCAGGCGACCCCAGTGCATCGTCGAGGTTTTTTTTTTTTCGTCGAGGGGGACCTTTTCCCCACCAAAGGAGGCCGTGTATGAAAAACAAAAAAAAAAAGGGCCGGTAGGCCCGATTTGAACTATTTCCAATCGCGGCCCATCTGCGCCGTCGATCTCCAAGATCAACGGCCCAGATGGGCCGCGATTTGAAATAGTTCGAATCAGGCCTACCGGCCCTTTTTTTTTTCCAAGCTGCTTCGAGTTTCCCGCCTCACTTCGGCCGACTCGTTCGTCGTTGCCTTCGAACCCCACGCCCGACGCCTCACTTCGGCCGACTGCTGCATTCGTCGTTGCCTTCGAACCGTGCGCCCGCCAATGCAGTCGACGCCCCCTGAACGCCATCGCGCTGCCTGCCGACGCCCCCTGAACGCCATCGCGCTGCCTGCCGACGCCCCCCGACGCCCCCCGATGCCCCCCGACGCGCGCCACAGTGAGTGTGTTAGTACGAGAGAGTGAGAGAGAGAGAGAGAGAGAGAGAGAGAGAGAGAAATCTTCTTGTTCTTGTTCTTCTTCTAGAGAGGGAAAGATCTTCTTCTTCTTCTTCTTCTTCTTCTTCTTCTTCTTCTTCTCCTCCCTCACTTTTTCTTCTTCTCCTCCTCCTCTTTCGCTTCTTCTTCTTCTTCTTCTTCTTCTTCTTCTTCTTCTTCTTCTTCTTGTCGCTTCGTCCTCTCCTCCTCCTCCGCTTCTTCTTCTTCATCTTCTTCTTCCTCCTCCTCTTCTTCTTCTTCTTCTACTTCTTCTTCTTCTTCTTGCCCCCACTGCCCGCCATCAGCGACCACCAGTTCCGATTTTTTTAATCTGCCTCGTGCGCGCGCGTGTTGGGCCGCGTCTCCTACACCACCCCCCTTCTTCTTCATCATCATCATCTTCTTCTTCTTCTTCTTCTTCTTCTTCTTCTTCTTCTTCTTCTTCTTCTTCATCATCTTCTTCTTCTCCTCCTCCTCCTCCTCCTCCTTGTTCTTCTTCTTCGCACCCTTTCTCAGCCCCCACCCTCCATCATTTCTTGCCCCCCCCTGCTCTCCATCCCCGAGCACTTTTTTTTTTTTTTTTCGGTCGGTCTACCTTCTTCTTCTTCTTCTTCTCGCCGTTGTTTGCCCATCCTTTCTCACCATCTTCTTCTTCTTCTTCTTCTTCATCTTCTTCTTCTTCTTCTCCTCCTCCTCCTTGTTCTTCTTCTTCGCACCCTTTCTCAGCCCCCGTCCTCTAGTGCAGCGCAGCACAGCCCCACCTTCGGAAAAAAATCATAAAAAATCCTTGCCACGTTTTTGCGTCGCCCGGTTCAGCCGGGCGGACCCTCCCGGGCCCAACTGGCTGGGGTCCGCTTGGCCAGGCGCCGGCCCAGCCCAGCAGAAAATTCTATAAATTTGAGGGTCCTTAGATTAGCTCGTGATCTTTCTGGGTAAAAATATCAGGAAAACCGTGAAATAATCTCCGCGCCGATTTTGTGCATTTGGCTTTTGCCACTCTACCATGTGTCAGTTAACAGAAGAAGTACGGCAACTTTGATGATTTTTTGTGCTCAGAAGAATTCTGAAACGGTTTTCACCTTTTGCAGTAGCAGATGCAGACCCCAGGGCTCGATCCCTAGCCTTACCCTACCGGTGTACAGTATCTGTGTCGACCCCAAGGCTTGAACCCACGACCTGTGTATTTGTAACAATTAGTAGACTGTCGTAGGGTCCGTAGGTAGCAGGGGTTCGATCTGTAGATCTGTAGATTAGAAGTCTTAGTGAGTTCCAGAAGTCTTAGCTGTAGCGCTTCTAGAAGGTCGGCAAGTGGGCAAGTGGTGAGTCAAGTGGTGGACTAACTGCAGTGCGATTGCAGTACGACCTTGGTAGGATAGCAGTGAGTCCCCATTCAGTCAGCGGTAAGGTCCAGTCAGTCCCAGTTCGGTCCAGCAAGTACCACGAGGGACTGTGAGCACCATGGGCCGATGGAAAACGGCAGACCAACGAGCTTCAGAAGTATAAATCAAGAGGCAACGCCCAGCCATTCATTCATTCCTGCGTCAGCCATGCGGAAGCGCTGCCACAGCGACTTGTGCAAGGAGGTCTGCAGTGAGCCCGGAGCCGAAGTGGGCGAGAGAGAAGGCGCGTAGCATAGCGATAGGGTAGAGGTGGCCATCGCCACCATAGCTGTAGTTAGTATTCAGCGTGTGTGTGTGTGTGTGTGTGTGTGTGTTTGTGTGTGTGTGTTTGTGTGTGTGTGTGTTTGTGTGTGTGTTCAGAGTGACGCGTGTGGGATATCCAGGGTGATCCGGTGTATGCAAACTGAGAGTTGTTTGGGCGCTGAGTCGCCATAGCCATTGAAAGTGAACTCGTGTCTGGGTTACCATATCTCTGAGTTTTGAGTGGCCGCATGTCGCCAGTTTGCTGCGCTACTGTTTGCATGCGTGTAAAGTGTGAATGAAAGCAAGTCTGACTGTCTGATTGCAATTCTTAGAAAATTCTGAAAATTTGAGGGTCCGTAGATTGAGTCCTGATCTTCCCAGGAAAAATATCAGAAAATTAAAAATATATATATTGCCCGTCAAATAATCGCCGCATGGATTCGGCATATTTCCATTCTTTTGCCACACTGGGACCAAGGCCAGGCCCCACAATGACCTACCGCCGCATGGATTCGGCATATTTCCATTCTTTTGGCACACTGGGACCAAGGCCAGGCCCCACAATGGCCTACCACCGCATGGATTCAGCATATTTCCAGTCTTTTGCCACACTGGGAGCCAAAGTGGGTGAGAGAGAAGGCGTGTAGCATAGCGATAGGGTAGAGGTGGCCATCGCCACCATAGCTGTAGTTAGTATTCAGCATGTGTGTGTGTGTGTGTGTGTGTGTGTGTGTGTGTGTGTGTGTGTGTGTGTTCAGAGTGAAGTGTGTGGGATATCCAGGGTGATCCGGTGTATGCAAACTGAGAGTTGTTTGGGCGCTGAGTCGCCATAGCCATTGAAAGCGAACTCGTGTCTGGGTTACCATATCTCTGAGTTTTGAGTGGGCGCATGTCGCCAGTTTGCTGCGCTACTGTTTGCATGTGTGTAAAGTGTGAATGAAAGCAAGTCTGATTGCAATTCTTAGAAAATTCTGAAAATTTGAGGGTCCGTAGATTGGGTCCTGATCTTCCCAGGAAAAATATCAGAAAATTAAAAATAATAAAATATATTTAAATATATATATTGCCCGTCAAATAATCGCCGCATGGATTCGGCATATTTCCATTCTTTTGCCACACTGGGACCGAGGCCAGGCCCCACAATGACCTACCGGTGAGCCACGTGCCTGTTCGAAAAATCGGCCTACTGGTCCCCCGACTTTCAGAAGGCGGGTAGAGTGGTGGTTTAAGAGTGGAGACCCATACTTTCTGAGTAAGAACAAGCCGAGAGTACCTATCTCCAGTTTCCATATATTCTGTGGGCGGAGGGGGAAGGGGACAAACCTGGCCCTGTACCCGTTTGGTGATAACCTTTGATCGAATCCATAGGCTGTGGTCGGGTTGGTTGGTTTAATCCACAGCCCCTAGTCAGGTTTCCACGTGAAATCTTCCTTCAGTAATCCGATCCAGGCCAGAGGGATGGTTTTCTGCATGCCAGTCAGGTTCTCAGATAGGAGACGGCAGCCTTTTTGCACGGTCCTCATGTACTCGAAGTCTTGAACTCTCTGACCACAAGTGTTGGATCCTCCATTCTTCCCTCTCTACCCAAGAACCAATCGGAGGCAGCCAGTGACCAAGGTTATCCACGGACTGCAAAACAGGGAATCTCTCAATACTTCTTTTACAGATAGTTTGCCTCGTTTATCTGCAATACTTCGCCTGCTCTGTTTCAGTCTTTCTACTTTTATTGACCATTCCTTTAACCCATTTCATTCGTAGTACTATGCTTCCTGTTTCAGGTCCATGATGTCGAGTTCCCTGGTCATGATGTCGAGTTCCCTGAGGTTTTCTAGTAATGCACGGGAAGGCCACGGTGTTAATGCAAGACTGCCTACTTGGCTCCGGTCCATATGAAATATTTGATGCACATCTTGAGGCCCTTCAGGTTCTCTAAGCACCACAGATTGGAGAGGATTAAGGTGCTCATCATTAGGGCTCTTCTCATTGGAGAGGCTTGAGCCTGCTTACACGGAGCTAACCGTGTTGTGTCTGCCGGTCAGTTTCCCACCAATACCTGGCCAAGTCCCATCGTTATTCACCATGATCCCCAGATAGCGGAGTGCCTGTTGGCCGATTGACCACGGAAGAGGTGTGAGATTCCTCTTCGTTGAAAGGAAGTTTCGCCGGCTAACCACCACCCTTCAGTTTTGAACCAGTTCACTTTTATCTCAGATGCCAGCCTGCAGGCTTCCAGGGCCCTTACCAGAGCTTGAAAGGTGGAGTTAGGCGCGAATCAACACCATCAGATCGTCAGTGAACAACAGCGCTTGCAGGGGCTGAACTCATGGAGGGGTTTGCTCTCGTGGATCGACAGTCTGTCAATTGAAGGGTCCTTTCTCAAGAAAGAGGCAATGGCTTCCATTATGAACAGAACAGGCGGCTGAAAAGTTATTCTAGGCTTGGCATAGTCTTTTCCATATTGTACCGGAAGATCTTGAAAACTGGCAAAATTATTGTGCATGCTGACAACTGATTCTGTGGCCTGTTGCCCCACTACCTCACATTGCGTGCATATCAATAAAACTTTAAAAGCTTAAAACAAACCTCTTACACGAGCACATACCTGCAACGTCTCCCAATTGTCGTTGACAATCGGACAAAGACGGGAGGACATTCACCAAGAGTTCATGCCAGCGCTCGCCAGCATACAAAGCACAGAGCTTTTCATACAGCTTCACTGCAGTGTCAAGATTCCCTCTGCGAAGATGCACAGCTGCAACTTCACCCTCCAAAACCACTCCATGTCGACGCCTTGATGACCTATGGTAGTTGTCTGCAACTGCTTCTGTGATTTCCAAATAAGCTTCCTGCACTTCCCGACCCACCAACCCCATCCATTCACCAATCCAGGCAAGAACGAAGGCATCCACAACCGAAGCAATATTCGGAAGTCAATGAAAAGAGCGGAGATCACTCACAAAGTCGTCAATACAATTTGCTGGCAACATCATAAACTTTCCACGGCCATCCAGTCCTCTCTCTCAGACACATACACTCCCGCTTCTCTCTCGCATGCACACTTCCTGTGGCATGCATGGGCCTACAACCAGGACTGGAAGACCCTGGCCAAGACCTTGGGACCCTATGACTGTGCGACAAATGTTTTGGGCGGGCATAGGACCATGGTATTGGGCGGTGGTTCATTTCACTCCGACTGCACGAGTCATTTTGTTTGTTCGTCTGTTTCGTTTGTATTCGGAGTGCTGATCCAGATTCGGATATGTTGTCTATTCCAGTGTTCATCTGTTCTGAGATAGTGCTGTTAAAGATGTCTGATAGGGGTTTGGAGTCTCTGGACTAGTGTCTAGGCTTGGTTCACACATTGACCCGTATTAGGGCTGGACCCATTTGTTCTCCTTTACTGTGGTCCAGTCCTTGCCCATTTAGGCAGGCCTGGGTGGGTCCAAGGGACCCAGCCCACACATTTTGAGGCTGGCCGCCTCTGGACCAGGACTTGAGCCTGCATCCAGAACTATAAAATTATAAATCGATGGTAGACCAGATGGCCCTGGACGTAGATCGGTAGGACATCAAGAAGGCCCTGTGCGAAATAACTTGCCAGTACTGCACCTCAGGTACTGGACTCAATTCATTCATTCCACACCAGGGTAGTGGAGAGCAGCCCTGGATTGGTAGTGCATTGGCAGTAGAGTTTATTGTTAGAGGAGATAGGCGGACGACTGGCAAGAGTGGAGATCAACAACGGGCAACAGACTTCATGCCAGGTATGGCCCGGCTTCACTCTGCCATCTGCTGATCCTCAAGACAATCTTTCAATGTCAGTATCTAAGAAGCGCACGCGCGTGCGTGTGTGTGTGTAAGAGAGAGAGAGAGATAGAGATAGAGAGAGATAGATAGATAGATAGAGAGAGAGGGAGGGAGAGAGAGAGAGAGGGAGAGAGAGAGAGAGAGAGAGAGAGAGAGAGAGAGAGAGAGAGAGAGAGAGAGCATTTCAGGGAGACCTCCCAGGTTCCAACTTCGCCATTTGTGTTCGAGGACGAGGGACTTGGAGAAATTGGTTATTACATCTGGCCTTTCTATCTTCTTCTTCACTATCCTTGTCCCCTTTCCGTCACCGCTTCATCAACAGTTTCACCCCATGATTGTGTGAGCAAGGAGGGCCCTGCTTCGGCATATGATGCCCTCCTTACCTTGTCGTTGGGAATGACGAGTGCATTGCCTAGTCCTATCGGGTTTGAGCAGATTGGTTCATTTCAGACACCTGCTGCATTATATGTGTTGTTTCTCTTGACTTTATTCCTGGGTACGAGTCA